TGCCCGGCTACCACCAATGTCCGCCCTGACAGGGAACACAACAGAGTCCTGGATGGAGCAGGAGAAAGGTGGGGTGCAGAACTCAAATTCTAGTAAGAAGACCAGACTTAATGGTCTGACTGCGACTGGAGGTACCCCGGAAAGCATGGCCCCTGGATTCTCTATCAGCCCAGAACTAAAACAATTTCTGAGGCCAACTCTTTAGACAGGGATTGGACTGGACTGTGGGACATACAGTGATACTCATGAGGAGTGTGCCTCTTAGCCCGAGTAGATATGAGAGACTAAACGGCAGCTTCCGTACAGAGGTGAGATGAGAAGGCAGAGATGGTTAGGAGCTGGTTCAAAGGACATGGGGAATTGGGTGGAAAGGAAGAGTGTGCTGTCACAGTATGGGGAGAGCAATTAGAGTCATATAACAGTGTATGTATAAATTTTTGTATGGGAAAAAATAAACAGTTTGAATACAACTTTCCTCATTACTGATATCATCTCTAATAACGTACTTTCTTTCCAAGAAAGCATACACAGTGTCAAGGCTACTAGCCATTGCTAATTACATAGTCTGGAAACTTAAGACAGGTTAACCAAAAAACCAAACCTGTTGCTGTCTAGTCAACTCCGACTCACAGCGACCCTACAGGACCAAGTAGAACTGCTCCACAGAGTCTCCAAGGAGTGCCTAGTGGATTCAAACTGCCGACCTTTTGGTTAGCAGCTGTAGCACTTAATCACTATGCCACCAGGGTTTCCTAAGATAGGTTAGGGACCCAAAACCCATATTTTTTAGATAGACCTTTTCATTAAATGCACAAACTGCATTTCGTGTACTTCACACCCTGCTACAGAGAGGGAGAAGTTTCTTTCTCCTTTTACTTCATCTAACAGAATACATATGTATGTGCAGATGGTAGAACTAAGGAGGACCAAAATTCAAGGCAGGCAAGTAGGAAATCAAAATTAACATAAGTAGTTTAGTGTATCTGCTTTCTTACCTACTGTCCATTTATCATTATAAAATTTGCTTCTACCCAGACAATACTGGGAGGGAAAGTCTTAGGTTTCTGTAAATCTCTTCTGTGTACAAAAATGTACAAAGTCACAGAGCTCTTGTTCGAGATTTTTAATTTCCCACTATTCTTAAATTTACCTTCCTCTCTGGTGACTATTATTAAGTGATTAGTTAACTAAGCAAATAAGGGAAGTAATTTAAAAATGTTTGTGAATGAAAATGACCCCAAAAAGATGGAGGGAAGGACGAGGGTTTATGGAGCAGAGGAGGCATGAAAAGGCCTACCTGTTTTAAAGATAGTCACTGCAGTGTTATTTGCAATGATAAAAATTGTGAAACATGCACTTAATAGATTATGACTATCTTTATAAACAGTAATGACTATGTAGGAATTGGAGCCCTGGTGACACAGTGGTTAAGAGGTTGACTGCTAACCAAAAGGTCAGTGATTCGAAGCCACAAGCTGCTCCTGGGAAACCTTATGAGGTATTTCTACTCTGTCCTATAGGGTCGCTATGAGTCGGAATCAACTTGACAGCAAAGGGTTTTTTTTTTTTAAACGTAGTAATATGAAAAAATGTCATCTGAAGAAAAAATACAAAATATATTAGGATTACAATTATGTAAGAAAATACGCATACCCTCTAAAACTGATATAGATGTTACATAAATAAAAATAAAAGACAGAATTTTTCCTTTTTTCCCCTAAAATATTTTATTACCTTGAAGGTTTTAAGAATAAATCTCGGGAGAAAAAGAAAAAAAATACTGTTAGGTGAAAATGGCACTAGCCATTCCATTAATAATCAGCATTTTTGATAAGGAACTTCTGGAGGCTCAAGATCTCAACCCAAAGAAGGCATTCTGTGGAAGTGGTTCTCAACCAACGAAGTACTAATCCCATCCCCCACCCCCAGAAATATTTATAAATTGTCAAAACGGATCAGGCAGTACTACTAGTACTTTCTGGGCACACCCAAGGATGCTAAACGTCCTGCAATGCCAATGGCAGCCTTTCTAAGAAACACTGCTCCAGCTGGCTAGAAATTTTGGTCTCAGTTGCAGGCTGATGAGGATACATAAAAGCAGCTGTGCCTTCTAACATTCCTCAAGTCATCCGCTATTGGATAACCACGTCAAAGGGTTTGCTTCTTTGTAGTCAATCATATTAAGTTACTCTAAAGCTGCCTCTAAATACTTAGTAAAATAAAAAATAAAAATTTGTCTCCATCTAAGATACTCCACTGGTCTCACCCCTTCACGAGCAAGGGAGAATGAAGAGAACAGGATACAAGGAAAAGATTAGTCCAAAGGACTAATGGACCACAGTACAGCTAGATGGTGCCCGGCTACCACCACTGACTGCTCTGACCGGGATCACGATAGAGGGTCCTGGACACAGCTGGAAAAGAATGTAGAACAGAATTCTAACTCCCAAAAAAAAGACCAGATTTACTGGTCTGACAGACTGGAGAAACCCCGAGAGTATGGCCCCCGGACACCCTTTTAGCTCAGTGATGAAACCCCTCCTGAAGTTCATCGTTCAGCCGGGGATTGGACAGCCTCATAAAACAAAACAGGACTAATGAGGCACAGCAGTCCAGGGACAAGGACTAGGAGGCAGGAGGGGACAGGAAAGTTGGTGATAGGGAACCCTAGGTTGAGAAAGGACAGTGTTGACATGTCCTGGGGTTGTTAACCATTGTCATAGGGCAATATGTGTACTAACTGTTTAATGAGAAACTATTTGTTCTACAAACCTTCATCTAAGGTACAAAAAAAAAAAAAAAAAAAAGATCTATGTGAGATCAAATTGACAACAGCAACTCAAAAGGTTTGATGTGATGCCTAGGGGACAGTGAGTTGAAGATAATGGTGATGAAATAATTTGGCAAAGGATAATGAGAAGACCAGCACAGCTGGAAGAATGTAATCGGTGTCACTGACTTGTATGTGTAGAAACCTTCGTAATGGTGTAACTTTGGCTATGTATATTTTCACCAAAAAAAAAAAAGTCCTCAAGGTCGAGAAGGGAGAGTGTTGACAACTCGTGGGGTTCTTAACCAATGTCATAAAATATGCGTACTGACTGTTTAATGACAAACTATTTGTTCTGTAAACCTTCATCTAAAGTACAATAAAAAAATTTTTAAAAAAATTTATCTCACTTTCCACATATGCCTTTTTAAACCATCTGATACTGGGCAGTTCTTTTTTTTTTTTTCCTTTTAACATCATTTTAAGTTACAGATCCTACATTTCTTAAAAAGATTTTGTTTCATTTGTTTGCTTAGAGAACTTATAAACCTGAGTGAAGCTAAGCATATCTTTTTCAAGATTGCCTCAATAAACAATTCTATTAATACATAAGGAATCAAGATATTGCTCTTGTCGAGGTGTAGACAGACCAACCTCAAATAGACTAGCTGTGAGTTCTTCCAATTCCTGTCCAAGTTGATCTCGTACTTTAGAAAGCCTCTCACATTCTTCATCTTTTAACTTCAGTTCCTATGAGAAATTGATAAATTTATTTTGGATTTCCATAGTTTAAAATTATATTCAGCATACTATATAATCTTTACTAATAAAGTTACAAAATATTAATACTGTCCCCTCCTACAATATTCACATTGAAATGCTTATTTAGGAAGACCATCAGGCAAATCTAGAATTACAAATAATTCCAACTAACATATTAAATTTTCAAATTTCTTTCATCAAACATCCAAAAATTAAATATGCAATATATATTACATGTGAAAATAAACAATAAAATAACTTCATTCTTTTCTTCCCTTTAACTTTTATCTGAATATACTTACTTCCACCAAACAAGGAATTTCTTCAATTATGTTTACATAATTTCAATAAATGTGCAGTGTTTTTTTTTTCATATTTTTTTAAATTGTTTACTTATAGCTCATTTCACACACCACACTGCTATTAATCTAAAATTTCCATTAGGAGACTACACCTATGTAACACTGCAACGAGAGGTAAATGATGCATATCAGCATTTAAAATAAGAAGATAATGACGAAAATCACATCCTACATTTAAACATGACTCTTCAACAGGTCACAAATAGATGTTAAAAATTCCTTTATTAACATGTTAAAAATACGCAATTTTATATTTTCAAGTAGTCTTGAATTAACCTTTCAAACTTATAGATAAATTCAGGCTCCCTATATCTTAGTCACAATTGCATTAATAAAATAATGAGTTAATCATGCTGAATAGTTTTGTCTTTTTAATTTTATTGTGGTGAAAATATACATAACAAAACATATGCCATCTCAACAATTTCTACATGTACAATTCAGTAACACTGATTACACTCCTCAAATTATACAATCATTCTTGCTATCCTTTTCCAAATCATTCCACCACAATTAACATAAGCTTAATGCTGAACAGTTTTTGAACCCCCAAAGACAACTCCTGAAAACCACATATAACCACTAGGGTATCAGAAAAATCCACTGATGACATCTTCTACAGAACTAGGCGAAAGAGAATCCCCACAAATCTTGGAATATGAGAGAATGTAGCTCAACTGCCAACAATGAGGGATCAGCAGCTGTACAGAGCGAGCAGCAGAAAGTGAAAGGGGACTACCACTGTACACTACAAGCCTCAGAACCCAAAAATCACTAACAAATACCCCAAAATGAAAGGACTCTACCCAGAGTGGAAAGCGGAAGAACAAATCTGAGAACAAATGGCGAAAAAGGAACGGTTTTCAGAGGCCGCAAGTTGCAGGTAAGCAAAAAACCTGTGTATGCAGTCAAGACTGCAGCGAACAGTGCTGTGAAGCTCTAAACTCTCAACAATCTCAGAAGTATCCAGCAAAGAGCCCCTTTCAGATAGACAGAGCCTCACCTAAGGGGAAAACTCTTGGAACCTGAAACCAAATTAAGCAGGTTGTGGACAATGAAGATAGGGAGACAGAAAGTTTCAATGGGGGTGGGGGGACAAGGGCAGTAGGGTTCCAAAAGAAATAGATCCCAGGAAGAACTAAGAACAAAATACATATCTCAAAATGGAATGATAAGCCTGTAAAGCTCTCAGAAACACTGGGCGAAAGGAGAAAAACCTTCTCAAACAAGTCTTAGCTCTGAAAGACAGACGTGGCTATACAGATACACCAAATTTTGAGCCTTCCCCATAACAACAGAGGGGAAAGCCCTTAAAATTGAGAAAGCTATCCTGGCCCTATCCTACCCCTTTTACCTGTCTTCCTAATAGTTCAGGAAAATGCAATTCATTTAAACAAGGGAAATAAAAAAGAAATATGTAAAGTTATCATAAGAAAAAGGATAAACACAAAGCTAACTCACCTATAAGGGAAAGAAAATCAAAATGGTATTAAACCTCAACAGCAACATTTTATGCTAGAAGATAATGGAGTTACATTTTTAAGATTCCGAAGGGAAAAAAAAAAAAAAACTAAGCTGAGAATTTTATACTCACCCAGTTATCCTTCAAGTATAAAGACCGCAAAGAGCTTTATGCCTGCAAGACCTTAGAGAATATCTCTTCCATAAGCCTGCTTGACTGCTCTGGTAGAGAATGAGTTTCAGATAACCAAGAAATAACTGGAAAAGCTTTAATGTTAAGGACTAAGAAGCAAATATATATAACTGTAGAACTACAACTAAAAGACAGGGATAAAGCTGACAAAACAGTACCTAAATGTTACAGGCTTTGGCAATAAAAGTAACACAAACAGGAAGATGAGACTAGGTTCACTAACTACTTAAGTATTAGCTGGGAGTAAAGGGATACTAATTGAGACTCAATCAATTAGTACAAACCTAAACATACTTAAGATCATAGAAATGAACATTTTGATAATGTCACTAAAATTAAATGATAGAGGAAAATGGAAGAAATAGTTATTAGATTATTTTAGTATTGCTTATGGTAAGGAACAAAGGCAGTATCTAAAGAAGGAATAAGGGTATATACAAATATCTTTGATTAAAGGTAACCACTAGAATGAAAATCAAACCTTCCTAAATACTAAAAAGAATAAAAAAGGGGAGCACATAGTGAAAAGATTTGTATACACACAAAGAAAACCTATTTGAAAGCTATATGACAGAAAGAGCCTAAACACAGCACTTTTATCAATAAACATAAATGGGCATAATTCACCTACTAAAAGAAAATGATTTTCAGATTGGCTAACAAAACAAAATCCATCTCTATGCTCTACACAAGAAACATACCTAAAACAAAGTGATTCAAATAATTAAAAATAAAAAGATGGGCAGAAGTATACCAAAAAATACAGTACAGATAAAAATAAAACAGTCATCTCAATCTTGATAACAGACCAGGTAGAATAAGGGCAAAAATCATTAAAGAAGAAAAGAAAGCTTCATGATGCTAAAGACTACAATGCACAACAAAAACTTTTAAAATTCCCCCCAAAAAACAAAGTAGACCTAGACAAATAGGAAGAAAGACATAATGTGTTCTCAGAAAGACATCATAAATACACCAATTCTGAGTTAATTTACGAATGTGAACATGCATAAATTTAATGCCAATTCCTTTCAAAACTCTTAAAATTTCACAACTTCAAAAACAATTTAAAAATTAAGTCCATTCATTCAGCATTTCCTACTAGGCAGGCATGGTGGTAAGCCCTCAGGATACAAAACCAAGTAAGCTAACTCTCCCCTTGAAACACTTCCAACTATTAAAACGATACATAAGTCATTCATGAAGCCAAAATTCTTGAATAGTTCCCTACCAGCTACCAAAGTGGCATAAAGCTCATCCTAAAGACCCCCTAAAACATGTGCTCAGTTTCTCATTAGAATTCTTTCTCTTGATCCATACTCTAAAGCTCGACTTAAACTGGTCTAGTCATTCCTCATTCATTCCCCAACCATCTAGGCTCTTTCCCCAAATTATGTCTATTTCTTCTTTAGCCTTTATGGTCCAACTCAATCTACATATATAAAGTCAAATTTGTTCTTCCTGTGAATATTTTTTAGAACTTTATTTGAACTTTTTATTATGATATCTTGTATTATAATATAGTGATTCAAAACTCACTCCTGTAAACATTAGTTTTGTGTTAACAATGCACTGGGCGCATTGGTGGTTCAGTGGTAGAATTCTTGCCTTCTGTGTGGGAGATAACTGGTTTGATTCCCAACCAATGCACCTCATGCGCAGCCACCACCTATCTGTCAGTGGAGGCTTCTGTGTTGCTATGATGATGAACATGTTTCAGCGAAGCTTCCAAAATCACACAGACTAGGAAGAAAGGCCTGGCAACCTACTTCTGAAAAACACAATGGTCCAATCTGCAACTGATTGTGGGGATTGCACAGGACTGGGCAACATTTTGTTCTGTTGTACATGCGGTTGCCATGAGTCAGGGGTCCCCTTGAGGGCAGCTAACAACAAGGTATTTATCTATCTACTGGAGACAGAGAAAAGAGATGAGACCTGGTTCACAATTTTCACGAGGTCATAACCTAATGAGGGAGGAAGAGGAACAAATCTGAAACAGATTCACAAGGCAATTTGGTAAGGCCTACAGGGTAGCTATGAGTCAGAACTGACTCGAAGGCAAAGGGTCTGGGTTTTTGGTTTTACAGTAGTGATGTACACATAGTAGAAAAGGTATGAATTTGCCAAATGAAAAAGACAGAATAAAGCAGTATGCTTTATAGCAGCTAAAGATTGGAGGGGAAGGGTGTTAAAAGAAGACAATGCCAGAAAGTTAGGTTCTTCAGATTTACTGGCCAGGCAGAGACTGGAGAAATCCCGAGAGTATGGCCCCCGGACACCCTTTCAGCTCCGTGGTGAAGTCACTCCTGAGGTTCACCGTTCAGCCGGAGATTGGACAGCCCCCTAAAACAAAACGGGACTAATGAGGCAAAGCAGTCCAGGGACAAGGACTAGAAGGCAGGAGGGGATAGGAAAGCTGGTGACAGGGAACCCAAGGTTAAGAAAGGACAGTGTTGACATGTCGTGAGGTTGTTAACCATAGTCATAGGGCAGTATGTGTACTGTTTAATGAGAAACTGTTCTGTAAACCTTCATTTAAAGTATTAAAAAAAAAAAACAATTATCTATGTGAGATCAAATTGACAACAGCAACTGAAAAGGTTTGATGGAAAGCCTAGGGGGCAGTGAGTTGAAGATAATGGTGATGGAATAATTTGAAAAGGATAGTGAGAATAACAGCACTACTGGAAGAAGGTAATTGATCTCACTGAATTGTACATGTAGAAATTTTTGAAATGGTGTGTCTTTGGCTATGTATATTTTCACCAAAAAAGAAAAAAGTCCTCCAAGGTCGAGAAGGGAGAGTTTTGACATGTTGTGGGTTTGTTAACCAATGTCATAAAACAATATGTGTACTGACTGTGTAATGAGAAACTATTTGTTCTGTAAACCTTCACCTAAAGTACAATAAACAAATAAATAAAAAATAAAAAAAAGGAAGTTAGGTTTATGGCCAACCCTGAAAGGTC